CTCATCAATTTCCCCTTCTTTTTGTTACCTTGAGCCAACTTTCTTTCTCATGTTCCTATTGCCCTCAGGCTGTCCCTGCTTCAACTGATGTGGTTTTTCTATTTCTACAGTATGAGGCCGTCCTGTGTCTCTCCTGACACCAAGAGGCACACTGTGTTTGCTTTCCTTATCTTGCCAAATACCAAGTGCTCCAGAGCCTCCGTGTGTGCTGTTCTCTCTTCCTAGAACACTCTTTCCCAGATCTTCCTCTTGATATCATTGTCCACTCATCCAGGCTTAAAGTCCCCCTTCCCGTAGCCGGACTGGACCTCTGTCCTGGACACTGCCCCTCAGTGTTGTTCTGTACAGCCATCACGTCCTGTGTCTCATTCAGTTATGGGCTTGTTTGTTGCTTCCCTTGTAGATGTAAGCTCCACAGGGCCAAAGTCCTGGCTGAACCACTGAATCTGGGCCACAGAGCACAGGCCCCCGTCATGGGGAAAGCCCATGGTTACCTTTTGTCAGTCTGTCATGGATGGATGGATGGATGGATGGGTGCATGGATGGATGGACGGATGAAAGGATGGATGAACCTTCCATTTATTCGTGATTACCTTTTTGAAGCCCTAGATAAGCCCTTTACAGAATGTCTGTCAACTTGCAAAATCAGGCATGATATTATTCCTGCTCATTTTAGAAATGAGGAAAGGGAAGCTTGAAATGAAACGACCAGCAGTTTCACTTGCCCAAGGACACTTCGTGATTAGGTGTTCCATCCAAGGTTTAAATCCATATCTGTCTGACCACACCTCTTCACCGGCCCACCACTCAGCACTGCCTCTGCTGAGCAACCAACCTCTTGCTAGCTACTGTTGCACGTCATCCTTTGAGTCTGTGGCGGAAAAATCCTCAAGAGCTAAAAAATATTCATAGATTTGTAATAGTCTGAGTTTATGAAATCGATTTAATTAAATGAGATATTCTTGTCAAAAGAGGCTTTCACCAAAAATGAGACCTAGTAGTTCCCAAATGACAAGACCTTACTAAAGTGACTGAGGGGGAGGGAAGTCTGACCTCCAGAGGATGTTTGTGGTATTGCATTGAGCCCAATGTTGGTAAGCCAGCAGGAGCAGAATGGGAAGCTTTATGGACCTTGAAGGAGGAGGAGGGTAACATTGACATTTTCACAATATTAACTCTGCCAATCCATGAGCATGGAATATTTTTCCATTTCCTCAATTTCTTTCAGAAGTGTTCTGTAGTTTTTAGGGTATAGATCCTTTACCTCTTTGGTTAGGTTTATGCCTAGGTATCTTATGCTTTGGGTGCAATTGTAAATGGGATTGACGCCTTAATTTCTCTTTCTTCAGTCTCATTTTTTTACGAATTAATTTTTTATTGGTGTATCAATTAACCAACATAGAGAATAACACCCAGTGCTCATCCCATCATGTGTCCCCCTCAGGGCCCGTCACCCATTCACCCCCACCCCCTGCCCCTCTCCCCCTCCACCACCCCTAGTTCGTTTCCCAGAGTTAGGAGTCTTTATGTTCTGTCTCCCTTTCTGATAATTCCCACACATTTCTTCTCCCTTTCCTTATATTCCCTTTCACTATTTTTTATGTTCCCCAAATGAATGAGAACATATAATGTTTGTCCTTCTCCGATTGACTTACTTCACTCAGCATAATACCCTCCAGTTCCATCCACGTTGAAGCAAATGGTGGGTGTTTGTCGTTTCTAATGGCTGAGGAATATTCCATTGTAGACATAGACCACATCTTCTTTATCCATTCATCTTTCGCTGGACACTGAGGCTCCTTCCACAGTTTGGCTATTGTGGACATTACTGCTAGAAACATCGGGGTGCAGGTGTCCCGGCGTTTCATTGCATCTGAATCTTTGGGGTAAATCCCCAACAGTGCAATTGCTGGGTCGTAGGGCAGGTCTATTTTTAACTCTTTGAGGACCCTCCACACAGTTTTCCAGAGTGGCTGCACCAGTTCACATTCCCACCAACAGTGTAAGAGGGTTCCCTTTTCTCCGCATCCTCTCCAACATTTGTGGTTTCCTGCCTTGTTAATTTTCCCCATTCTCACTGGTGTGAGGTGGTATCTCATTGTGGTTTTGATTTGTATTTCCCTGATGGCCAGTGATGCGGAGCATTTTCTCATGTACATCTTGGCCATGTCTATGCCTTCTTCTGTGAGATTTCTCTTCATGTCCTTTGCCCATTTCATGATTGGATTGTTTGTTTCTTTGGTGTTGAGTTAATAAGTTCTTTATAGATTTTGGAAACTAGCCCTTTATCTGATACGTCATTTGCGAATATCTTCTCCCATTCTGTAGGTTGTCTTTTAGTTTTGTTGACTGTATCCTTTGCTGTGCAAAAGCTTCTTATCTTGATGAAGTCCCAATAGCTCATTTTTGCTTTTGTTTCTTTTGCCTTCGTGGATGTATCTTGCAAGAAGTTGCTGTGGCCAAGTTCAAAAAGGGTGTTGCCTGTGTTCTCCTCTAGGATTTTGATGGAATCTTGTCTCACATTTAGATTTTTCATCCATTTTGAGTTTATCTTTGTGTATGGTGCAAGAGAGTGGTCTAGTTTCATTCTTCTGCATGTGGATGTCCAATTTTCCCAGCACTATGTATTGAAGAGACTGTCTTTCTTCCAGTGGATAGTCTTTCCTCCTTTATCGAATATTAGTTGACCATAAAGTTCAGGGTCCACTTCTGGGTTCTCTATTCTGTTCCATTGATCTATGTGTCTGTTTTTGTGCCAGTACCACACTGTCTTGATGACCACAGCTTTGTAGTACAACCTGAAATCTGGCATTGTGATTCCCCCAGCTATGGTTTTCTTTTTAAAAATTCCCCTGGCTATTCGGGGTCTTTTCTGATTCCACACAAATCTTAAAATAATTTGTTCTAACTCTCTGAAGAAAGCCCATGGTATTTTGATAGGGATTGCATTAAACGTGTAAATTGCCCTGGGTAACATTGACATTCTCACAATATTAATTCTGCCAATCCATGAGCATGGAATATTTTTCCATCTCTTTGTGTCTTCCTCAATTTCTTTCAGAAGTGTTCTGTAGTTTTTAGGGTATAGATCCTTTACCTCTTTGGTTAGGTTTATGCCTAGGTATCTTATGCTTTTGGGTACAAGTGTAAATGGGATTGACTCCTTAATTTCTCTTTCTTCAGTCTCATTGTTAGTGTATAGTAATGCCACTGACTTCTGGGCATTGATTTTGTATCCTGCCACGCTACCAAATTGCTGTATGAGTTCTAGCAATCTTGGGGTGGAGTCTTTTGGGTTTTCTAGGTAGAGTATCATGTCATCGGCGAAGAGGGAGAGTTTGACTTCTTCTTTGCCAATTTGAATGCCTTTAATGTCTTTTGTTGTCTGATTGCTGAGGCTAGGACTTCCAGTACTATGTTGAATAGCAGTGGTGAGAGTGGACATCCCTGTCTTGTTCCTGATCTTAGGGGAAAGGCTCCCAGTGCTTCCCCATTGAGAATTACATTTGCTGTGGATTTTTCGTAGATGGCTTTTCAGATGTTGAGGAATGTTCCCTCTATCCCTACACTCTGAAGAGTTTTGTTAAGGAATGGATGCTGTATTTTGTCAAATGCTTTCTCTGCATCTATTCAGAGGATCATAGGGTTCTTAGTTTTTCTCTTGCTGATACGATGAATCACATTGATTGTTTTACGAGTGTTGAACCAGCCTTGTGTCCCGGGGATAAATCCTACTTGGTCATGGTGAATAATTTTCTTAATGTACTGTTGTATCCTATTGGCTAGTATCTTGTTGAGAATTTTTGCATCCATGTGCATCAGGGATATTGGTCTGTAATTCTCCTTTTTGGTGGGGTCTTTGTCTGGTTTTGGAATTAAGGTGATGCTGGACTCATAGAATGAATTTGGAAGTACTCCATCTTTTCCTATCTTTCCAAACAGCTTTAGTCGAATAGGTATGGTTTCTTCTTTAACGTATGATAGAATTGCTCATGGAAGCCATCTGGCCCTGGACTTTTGTGTCTTGGGAGTTTTTTGATGACTGCTTCAATTTCCTCCCTGGTTATTGGCCTGTTCAGGTTTTCTATTTGCACCCCGATGTTTATAACAGCAATGTCCACAATAGCCAAACTGTGGAAGGAGCCTCAGTGTCCATCGAAAGATGAATGGGTAAAGGAGATGTGGTTTATGTATAGAATGGAATATTACTCAGCCATTAGAAATGACAAATACAAATTAAAAAAAAAAAGAAAGAAAGAAAGAAATGACAAATACCCACCATTTGCTTCAACGTGGATGGAACTGGAGGGTATTATGCTGAGTGAAATAAGTCAATCGGAGAAGGACAAACATTATATGGTCTCATTCATTTGGGGAATAAAAATAATAGTGAAAGGAAATAGAAGGGAAGGGAGAAGAAATGGGTAGGAAATATCAGAAAGGGAGACAGAACATGAAGACTCCTAACTCTGGGAAACGAACTAGGGGTGATTGAAGGGAAGGAGGGCAGGGGGTGGCAGTGAATGGGTGACGGGCACTGAGGGGGGCACTTGACGGGATGAGCACTGGGTGTTATTCTGTATGTTGGCAAATTGAACACCAATAAAAAAGAAATTAATTATTAATTAAAGTAGGAGGGGAGCGAGGAGGGTATGAAGACCACACTAATAATAAAACACCTGGGACAACAACAGAGGCTCAGTTGGCTGTAATATGACTAGGTAGCAAGCACGTCTGCATTAATTTCGTCTAAAGTCATGTATCATTATGGAGTTCCAAGCTCTGTCTCCTTGGTTTCTGCAAACACAGAGCAGACTAGCTGGGTTGCAGTTGATTCTTGCTGCCATTTCCTGGTCCGAAGCCAGGTTCATGATGTGACTCATTCCCTCATTTATGGGAGGGATTAAGGTAGTGACCAGGAGAATAAAGGGAGGACTCCTAGGTCCTCCCATCCAACGTGAGTTCCTTCCTCCCTGTCAGACCAGCCAGCAAGAGCTGACTTCAACCATGAAGCTGCTGAGAGTCCTCATTCTGGTTGCCCTCCCCCTTTACTGCTTTGCAGGTGAGTTTTGGGTGGGGAGGACAGGCTTTGGCCTGAAGATCTGTCAGCGCTTTCTGGAAGATCTCCTGTTCCCCAAACTCCAGTGTAGAGATCTCATTTCTCTGGTGTCTTCCTGGTTCATGGTTACTAGTGTCTAGCTTCTCTGGACTATGGAGGGAATGTGAGAGGGATCGGGAGGAGGGGGCACACATGTTCGCGGGCTTAAAGGAAATTCCATGCTAGAATCGAGAACTCAAGACCATTCACCATAATCTTCCTAAATGTATATGTCTACTTGAATGTAAGCAGATGACCACTATCTTAGAGACTCCCTAAAAGGCTTCATCCCTACATAATTGAGACCACTTTTGCATGTTTTCTTTCAGGTTCTGGATGCTTATTTTTAGAAGAAGCAATTAACAAAGCAATCGATTCTCAAGTGAGCATAGATGAATACCAAAACTTCCTTCAACCTTTCACATATGGTCTTGAAGCTAACGAGGCCATAGCAGAGCTGAAGCAATGTTTTCTCCAGCAGTCGGATGAAACTCTGAGCAATTTTGCATTGGTGATGGTAACTATGGTTTCTCCTGATGTGCTTTCAAACCAGTTGACAGGGACGAGCAGGCTCTAAGCTTGTCACTCATTATTCCACATATTTCTGACCTTAAATCATACACCGAGTTCCATGGGTACCAGATGTATGTGGACAAACCCAGCAAGCCAAGGAGAAGAAATGTTTGTCTTTCAAGATTTTCCTTTGTCACAGAGAGCTGAAAATCTGAGCGATGTCTCTGCTTTTATTTTCTAGGACATAATATATAATAGTCCTTCGTGTGTTCTGTTTTAACCTTCCACGTGATCTGGGGCTCTGAGGACTGCAGAGAATGGTTGGACGCCGACTGCTGATTAATACAAACCACAACTTTCTTTTCCTTTTTGTCTTTTGATCTATGAACTACAAGATAATTGTTGAAACCTTGAGTACATTTTCATTTCAATAAAGTATCTGCAAATGGAAGTTTGTTTTTCTTATGTTATCTGATCAAAGTGGAGGCTTTAGAGAGGCTCTTCTATCACCGGTGCATGTGCCCGGGTGCACACACACACACACACACACGCACACACACATTCATGCATAGTTTCTCATTGGAGAACACCTGCGTGAAGGAGTGGGGAGTCTGAAAAGCACTTTGTTCCTCCCCATGTGTAGCCCAACACGGTCCTCTCTCTGTCAATGTGCTCTTCCACCCTCCTGACCCCCATTTCCCTCGGACTATCTGGGAAGTCCTCAAGACTTAGTTCTGGTGTTTGTGAGGCTGGCAGTTCCTGAGCCACCACAGTCTTTGCCTGTGCTGCAAGCCAAGCTCCCGCGGCTGGGCCCCTCTCCACTCTCTGCCCCGGACCCAAGAGTGCGGGGCCAGGACCAGAGCCAGGGAGAGACGTGACTCATACAAAGCAGTAGTGACTCCTGTCTTGATGTTAAACTTTAATTAATGTGGCATGCATTTTGTTTTTTGAAATATTTCTTCAAAATCTGATCTGCCCTCGGGATCCCTGGGTGGCGCAGCGGTTCGGCGCCTGCCTTTGGCCCAGGGCGCGATCCTGGAGACCCGGGATTGAATCCCGCGTCGGGCTCCCGGTGCATGGAGCCTGCTTCTCCCTCTGCCTATGTCTCTGCTTCTCTCTCTCTCTGTGACTATCATAAATAAATAAATTTAAAAAAAAAATCTGATCTGCCCTCATTCCTGAGGTTGGGCAGGGCCCCGTGAAATTGTGTGAGTGCCCCTACTCCCGTCCCGGCAAGTGGCAATGTGGCCCAGTCTCTTCACCATAATGACCTACAAAGCCACGTAGGTTGAGGGAAATATGTGTGCTCTTTAGGGATGAGGCAAAGCCAGCAGTTTTTATACTGAACCATAGCTACCCTTGCTTTTACCTGTCCCCTCATCCCGGTCACCAGGGATAGTTTAATGCCACCCCTCTGCTCACAGCTCACAGAACCTCTCTTCCTTCACAGGCTATCCTGTCACCCCAGAAGCCCCTCGACTTTTCCTCAGGACTGTTTCTCAGTTTCCACCAGGGCTGACCTTCACCAGGCATAACCCATACGGAGAATTAGACACATGATACTCAGGACTCCACATGAATGCTATACTCCCCTTGAAAACATAACCAAGGGACACCTGGGTGGCTCAGCGGCTGAGCGTCTGCTTTGGCTCAGGTCGCGATCCCAGGGTCAGGGGATGGAGTCCTGGATCAGGCTCCCTGCCAGGAGTCTGCTTCTCCCTCTGCCTGTGTCTCTGCCCCTCTCCCTTTCTCTGTGTCTCTCATGAAGAAATAAATAAAATCCTTAAAAATATATATTAACCAAAAGTGACTGAAGTAATAATGAATATATACCAACGTACCAGTGCGGGGTATATTCTTCTTTATTCTAATGCAGCTGTAAGATATCATTTTTATTGTGCTTTTCATGGAAACTGGCCCAAAATAAATAAGACTCAGAAAAGTCATAATGAGTCTCACCTCTCTTTTTTTTCTCCCAAACACCTCAGGGCCCTGTAGTGCTATTAGACTTGGGCAAAAGGACCCTTGCCCGGAACCCACATTTTAAAAGATCCCCACTATTACACACACACACATACACACACACAGACACACTCACACACACACACACACACACACCAAACCATTTATTCATTAAGAACGCATGGACCGTACTCAGTTCTGAGTGTTCTCAGTGCACCGTCACTGGCGAGTGGGGGGCACCATTTCTTTCTGCCTTTCATATACGGGGGCCTCAGTCCACCCTCTCTCCCTCTTGGACCATAACAGGAGAGGAACAGGAAGAGATTCAGCTGCAGGAAATGGAGAGGACACACAGCGATGCAGAACTTCGTATCTTTTGAGATGAGCCCGGTCCATTTGATGAAGGTGTCTACATGTTAAACAGCAAATTTCATGCAAGAATTGGTAATAGAGCGTATTGCAGGATGGGAGCAGTAAAAAGGGAAGATAAAGGACGTGCAAAGAAGGATCATTTGGAAGGACACTACTGACTCTAGAACTGGAAACAAAAGGAGATTGTATAATAAGTAAATATAGTGGCACATCAGCAAAAGTGCCTATGAATGAAGGTATAGGGGTGTTCTTCCCCTGCACATATGACTTTGTCATTTCTGTACCCTTGTAGGAGTACTTTTTGGTTTTTGTTTCCAACCAAGATTTCACCTGAATTCAAAATGGTTAATTAAGAGCGTGGTATTGCTGTCAGGGTGGAATTTAGGGATTGGGGGCATGGCAAGATGGCAGAGGAGTAGGGTCCCCAAGTCATCTGTCCCCACCAACTTTCCTAGATAACTTTCAAATCATCCTTAAAAACCGACAAATTCGCCCTGAGATTTAAAGAGAGAACAGCTGGGACGCTACAGAGAGGAGTCTGCGCTTCTAACAAGGTAGAAGGCGGGGGGGGGGGGGGGGAGAATCCAGTGGGGAGGGCCCCGAGGAGCCGAGCTAAGGCCCGCGGTGAAAGCCGTGAAAGCCCCCGGGGACAGGGAAGCCCAGTCCCGGAGGAGCAGGAAACTAAAAATCCAGACCGGATTCTTCCTGGAGGGAAGGGCGCTCAGCAGGGAAACTGGGCAGAACCGCAGGAGGGGCAGGGGAGCCTGCAGTCTCCTGGGGTCACTAACAGAGGACGTGCACCCCGGGGGAGAGCGCCCCACATGCCGGGCCGATGCGGTAAAGGGCTGGAGCGCGCTGCTCAGGCGGCGGCTCAGGGCGGAGGGGGCTGCGCCCTGCTGCCTTCGAGCCTTGCGCCCGGGGGCGCGATTCTGCAGTGCAGGCCCCGGATCCCAGGGCTCGAGCAGACACAGCCGGGGATCCTATGCTCACCCCCGGGGCAGGCGCAGGCCGGGAGGACGCAGGGCAGCGAGGACCCTCCTGCCGCCGGGCGCCCCGGAGCCGTGCAGATCAGCACCCGCCCCCGGAGCATCCAGGCCGGCGCGGACTGGGAGACTGCGGCAGTCACTGCGGGAGCTGACTCCGGAGCTGGAAGGCCGGCTGCCGCCAGTGTGGTTGTTCCTCCTGGTGTCACCCTGTGCCTGGGATGGAGCGGGGCCGCCAGGGAACAGGGGCCTCACGGGGTAAACAGCTCCCGCTGAGCCCGGCACCTGGCAGGGGGGCGGGGGGCGCAGGGCAGCTCCCCCAGGTGCACACACCTGAGAATCAGCACAGCAGGCCCCTGCCCCAGAAGGCCAGCTGGAAGGACAGGGGAAGAGCAAGTTCTTGACTGAGCAGCGCTGGACAACTCCAGGGGAAGTCGAGGGATTTACAGTACATAGAACTAGATGATACCCCTCTTTTCTTCTGCCTTCCTTTTTCCCAGTACAACTCGTTTTCAGCCACTCTGCACTGAGCAAAATGACTAGAAAGAAGAACTCACCACAAAAGAAAGAATCAGAAACAGTCCTCTCTCCCACAGAGGTACAGAATTTGGATTACAAGTTGAGGTCAGAGAGCCAATTCAGAAGCACAATTATAAAGCTGCTGGTGGCTCTGGAAAAAAAGCATAAAGGATTCAAGAGACTTCATGACTGCAGAATTTAGATCTAATCAGGCCGAAATTAAGAATCAGTTAAATGAGATGCGATCCAAACTGGAGGTCCTAACGACGAGGGTTAATGAAGTAGAAGAACGAGTGAGTGACATAGAAGACACGTTGATGGCAGGGAAACAAACTGAGGAAAAAAGAGAAAAACAATTAAAAGACCATGAGGAAAGGTTAAGGGAAATAAATGGCAGCCTCAGAAGGAAAAATCTACATTTAACTGGGGTTCCAGAGGGCACCGAGAGGGACAGAGGACAAGAAAACATATTTGAACAAACCATAGCTGAGAACTTCCCTAACTTGGGGAGGGAAACAGGCATTCAGACCCAGGAGATAGAGAGGTCCCCCCTAAAATCAATAAAAACGGTTTGACACCTTGACATTTAATAGTGAAACTTGTAAATCCCAAAGATAAAGAGAAAATCCTTAAAGCAGCAAGAGACAAGAGATCCCTAACTTATATGGGGAGAAATATTAGATTAACAGCAGACCTCTCCACAGAGACCTGGCAAGCCAGAAGGGGCTGGCAGGATATATCCAGGGTCCTAAATGAGAAGAACATGCAGCCAAGAATACGTGATCCAGCAAGGCTCTCATTCAGAATAGAAGGAGGGATAAAGAGCTTCCAAGATAGGCAGACACTGAAAGAATATGTGACCACCAAACCAGCTCTGCAAGAAATATTAAGGGGGACTCTGTAAAAGAAAGAGGATGCCCAAGAAATAATCCACAAAAACAGGGACTGAATAGGTATCATGATGACACTAAATTCATATCTTTCGATAGTAACTCTGAACATGAATGGGCTTCATGACCCCATCAGAAGGTGCAGGGTTGCAGACTGGATAAAGAAGCAAGGCCCATCTATTTGCTGCCTACAAGAGTCTCATTTTAGACATAAGGACACTTACAGCCTGAAAATCAAAGGTTGGAGAACCATTTACCATTCAAATGGTCCTCAGAAGAAAGCAGGGGTAGCCATCCTCATATCAGATAAATTAAAGTTTATCCCAAAGACTGTAGTAAGAGATGAAGAGGGACATTTTATCATACTTAAAGGATCCATCCAGCAAGAGGACTAACAATCATGAATATTTATGCCCCGAATGTGGTGGCTGCCAAATATATCAATCAATTAATAACCAAAGTTAAGACATACTTAGATAATAATACGCTAATACTGGGAGACTTCAACACGTCGCTTTCTGCAAATGACAGATCTTCTAAGCACAACATCTCCAAAGAGAGAAGAGCTTTAAATGATACGCTGGACCAGATGGATTTCACAGATATTTACAG